CCACCCCGCGACCCGCTGGTAGCCTCCCGCCAAGCTGAGGCGGGGAGCCTCCCAGACGCTATTCCTGTGAGAAAAACGTTGAAAATTCGAGGAGAAAACCCCCGATTACCGCTGTTAGGTGTTAGAGACGGGGGAATCCCGAGGGAGAGGGAGCAGGAGGGAAAGCGGCTGTGCTGGAAACCCACATGAAGCCAGGTCTCCTGAGCACTGCTCACAGGAGTGGCATCCGAGTTTCCTTTCATTTCTGCTTCCTGTGGGTTTGGAGCCGAAAGGTGGGTTTCCCGGGGCAGGTGTTCCCACGGGAAGGGCCCGCTGCACGGCAGCCCCTCCGAGGACCCCAGCCCAGGGGGAAGGCAGGGAGCAGACATAGGCAGTGACTGTGGGGCCTATGTGGGCTCCGTGCGCTTCAGGTTGGCCTTTCCAGCTAAATGATATTGCACAGTGCTCCGTTTCCCCATGCGAAATGGCAGAAGTACGCACCAGATTTCAAGTCCCAAAGGCTTCAGATTTCTTCAAATCACCTATGTTTGCTTTCTTCCTAAAACATTGGCTTTCTGGGTTGAAAATGCCTATGTTTAAGCTTTTCCTTAAGCTAGAATTTGTGGAAAATTTAAACAAAACATCCTTTCATGGGTTACATGGAAATTAATGTAAATAGGTTCTGGCTTAATTGTATTACTTGGCAGCCTGCAAAGAGTCCATCACTTTCACTGTTGTTGAATCTCTTATTCATGTAAATAATCCTCATTAGTGCTTTTTACTGTGAGTAGGGATTACAAAACGGAGACTGAAGATGTATGTCCTTCGTGATGGACAGACGGTCGCTTGTGGCATCACAGACAGAAGAATGCACAATCCCTGCGCTCTCCAAAGAGGAAGGCAACACAGAGAGAAATGCTGCTGCAATGCTAGTGCTGAGATAATCTTCAGGAAGAAGATTACTAATATTTAATTAAAAACACACAGAGCAGATGCTCTGACTCTGCCAGGAACACCCGCCTGCCACCACCGTTACTTACATAAATTAAACTGTATCTTAGCTTGGGGACTGGAGGGAGCAGCACGTGTGTGCAGGAACGCCGCCTGCGATTTGAGGGTACCTGTAATTTTGGCAGCTATTTCCAGCACTATGCTGAGAGTGCAGCCCTCGTTTGAGAATGTAAAGCAGAGATTTGACTGAGCCCCCGCACATTTCTGGGTAGCCTCAAATTCCTGCAGCGTTTAAGCTCAAATTAAACACATTTACAAAGTTTGTGGATTGTGCAGAAGACCTCTGAGGTCCTATTTGTCTGCCAGCTGCAAATCACTGTTGTAAATATTAACAACTATTGAAAACTGAGTGCTTTTGCACCGTCAGCACCAGAATGTGCACCTCTCCATTTCTCATTCTGCGGGCAACCCGGCTGAGCACCCTGGGGAGAGCAGCACTCGGCAGGGCTGCCATCGGGATGCCTCACAGCAGGGCCTGGGAAGAGGGCAGACTCATCAAATTAATTCTGAAGGCCTGGTGGAAGCCAGATGCCCGGTTCCCACTGCATGAAAATGTGTTGATAATAGTTAAAAAAATCACCATCTGCTATCGCAGGGTACTGATAACAGTGGAATAGTGTTAGCGGTGCAATATATGAGCACAACTGAACAAGTCACAAGAGTAACTGGCTTTAAACTCATGTAAATACACAGCATTGTTTTGGACTAAAAGGGACCCAGTGCTATACAGCTGTATTATGCTATATATCCTCACGGAGAGTGTTCTGCTGTATTAGGAACATAGTTAGGTTATACCGTCCCAAGCTACACATTTCTCATGCTTTTAAATAAGCCAGCTCTGGTACCCTGATGCAAGGGTGTACTTATTTTCAGGTTTAAGCCTGGGGCTTCTGTCCTCTATAACATTTCCTTAAAAGAACAACCAGTGATGATGAAGAAGTGTTTGATGAAATACTAAAGATGTATATTGAAATTAGGTATTAGATATTAGTCCAGACATGCTGCATCTTCTAGTTTTAGTTTTCTATTTAGATGTTACCTATTATATCGCTCCTTAACACGTAAGGAGTTTGATTCACATTTATTTTTTGTTTGAAAATATTAAAAATTAAATTTAAATTTAAAATGGCAACCTAGGAAATTAGTGACCTGCAAGTCTAGTATGTTACTCTTTCATTTAGTATGCTCAGCAATGCATATATATATTTTTCCAAGAGCAGTGAAGCTTCTAAAGTTCCAGTATGCTTGTGTTAAATGAAGTTCTGTTTAGATATTTATGTTCTAGGGAACTGTGGTTTTTGAAAGGAAGAAGGAAAGCATACCCCTGATAATACTAACTTTCAGAGCAATTTTGTTCTGCATTCATTTGAAAATCCAGATGAAAAATTGCCTGTAAAGAAATTAATTCTCTTAACAATTTGTGCCTACATACTCTTATGAGAGTCCCTGCTTATAAGGTAAATCCAGTTGGTCATAGACCTCACTTCAGCCATATGGCAGGTGCATATGATATACATGCATGAAACTTCCTGGAGCACCAGTGCATGACTTCATATGGGAAGAAGGGCAATGGTAGACGTAATCTCTCTATTGTTTCAACTGCACAGCATTTAATCCTGATGTTTTTACTCTGTCCACAAAGTAATTACACAAATTCCTCCTGCAGGCCTCCCAGAGTAAGAGAATTCGTCTTTCTACTCACTAATGACAGCTTGAATCTGGCTCTGGTTGCCAAACCCAGCTCCCTCACTGAGGTGGACAGGAAAAGCACCTGCTTACGCCATGCCAGAGCTCAGCAGCAGCAGGTAAGCGAGGCACCGATGTGGCAGGACAACGAGTTGTGTAAGGACAGCCCTGGCCACCAGCTGCACTTTGTACCAGCCTCTGCAGCTCCATGGTTTGCCTGTTGGAAAAGGACCTGGGGGTGCTGGTCGACAGCCGGCTGAACATGAGCCGGCAGTGTGCCCAGGTGGCCAAGAAGGCCAATGGCATCCTGGCCTGTATCAGAAATAGTGTGGCCAGATGCAGTAGGGAAGTGATCGTGCCCCTGTACTCGGCACTGGTGAGGCCGCACCTCGAATACTGTGTTCAGTTTTGGGCCCCTCACTACAAGAAGGATGTCGAGGTGCTGGAGCGTGTCCAGAGAAGGGCAATGAGGCTGGTGAGGGGTCTGGAGCACAAGTCTTATGAGGAGGG